TGTGTGTCTGTATGGGTCAGTGTGTGTCTGCATGGGTCAGTGTGTGTCTGAGGGGTACAGTTTGTGTGTATGGAGGGGCAGTGTGTGTGTATGGGGGCTGGTGGGTGTGTATGGGGGGATAATTGTGTGTATGTGGAACAATTGTGTGTATTGGGGGGCGATTGTGTGTATGGGGGCAGTGTGATTGTATGGGGGGTAATGTTTTTTGTGTATGGGGCAGTGTGTGTGTGTATGGGGGAGTTATTTTGTGGTGTGGGGTCTGTGGGGGTGGGAGGGCAAATTCATAAATATATATATATATATATATATTTTATTTTTTTTATTAAAAATAATACTTTTCATATCCCCCTCCCTGCTTACCTTTGCCTGGAAGGGGGGGCATTTCCTGCAATCCCTGGTGATCCTGTGTGGAAGCCTTGGTGGTCCCAGTGGTGAGAGTGAACTCTAGCAGCCTCAGGAGCTGCTAGAGTTCACTATCGCGAGATTCGGAGTAGTATCTCTGATCTCCCCTCCATTCCTGCAGAGCTGGCCGGGGAGAGGGAGGCATGGTTCCCGGTGCTATCATCATAGCACTGGGAAAATATCTTGCGGCTCCCCTGCGTCTCCGTCTGGGAATTGCTGGGGTAGACACATATCCTAACAGGAATCTGGAGGAATAATCCAGGGGAAAAGTAAGTGAAGTGAAATATACCTTCAAAATGTAAATATACGTATAAAAGTTTAAAGTACAGGTGCTTTCCTCTCCCTCTCACTTCCGAGACGCGTTTTTGCCTAGCAACTAGGTTTTTTCAGTCGGTTGTGTTGTATTTACAAGTTCCTGTTTACAAATGCGACCTGGTCCCACCTTCTGTGTGTCTCGTCCAATCATATGTATCTTATCCCGATGTGGCTTGATTTTCGGGCGGTCTTTGTGTTAATATCCTGTTCTTGGTTCCATATCCTTATTGCTCTAATAGTAAAAAAAATCTTTTCTTTGCCTTGCAACTTTTTTGTAGATTGCAACTGTTTGTAGCACAGTAACAAAATGGAAAAACTTTACATTATCTATATTTTCTGTTTAACTTTGTGGCCTAAAATTAGACCTTTACTTTGAATTCCTGACAATTCATACTTAAAAGGACACTATAAGCACCAAAACAACATTAGCTTAATGAAGCAGTTTTGGTGTATAGATCATGCCCCTGCATGTTTTTTTAACCAGCTCTAGTCACACATCCCTGCATGTGACTTATACAACCCCCCTAAACACTTCCTGTAAAGAGAGATCTAATGTTTAACATTCATTTATTGCCGGTACAGTTTAGTTTAGAATTTCTTGTCTCCTGCTTTGGTAATAGCTTTCTAGACCCTGCAAGAGCCATCTGTGTATGGTTAAAGCAGGGGTCAAGTCCTGGGGAAAAAGGTGTGGGAACTCACCCAAGATTCCCGCCTCCCCCCCCACCCCCTTAAAAAATTTTTTTTTTAAATTACACTCCTATGCATATAGTGCAGTGCAGGGTGTGTATAATGAAGGTAGTGTGTTTGTAGTGAATGCAGAGTATGAATAATAAATGTAGTGTGTTTGCAGTGAGTGCAGTGTGAATAATAATTGTAGTGTATTTGTAGTGAGTGCAGAGTGTGTATAATGAATGCAGTGTGTTTTAGTGAGTGCAGAGTGTGTATAATGAATGCAGTGTGTTTTTAGTGAGTGCGGAGTGTGTATAATGAATGTAGTGTATTTGTAGTGAGTGCAGTGTGTATAACAAATGTAGTGTATTTGTAGTGAGTGCAGTGTGTATAATAAATGTAGTGTGTTTGTAGTGAGTGCAGTGTGTATAGTGAATGCAGAGTGTGTATAGTGAATGTAGTGTGTTTGTAGTGAGTGCAGAGTGTGTATAATGAATGTAGTGTGTTTGTAGTAAGTGCAAATTGTGTATAATGAATTTAGTGTTTGTAGTGAGTGCAGAGTGTGTACAATGAATGCAGTGTGTGTAGTGTGTTTGTAGTGAATGCAGAGTGTGTATAGTGAATGTAGTGTGTAGTGAGTGCAGAATGTGTATAATGAATGCAGAGTGTGTATAGTGAATGTAGTGTGTTTGTAGTGAGTGAAGAGTGTGTATAATGAATGCAGCGTGTGCTGGATGATGTGTGTGTGCGCGCTGGATGACGTGTGTGTGCGCGCTGGATGACGTGTGTGTGTGCGCGCTGGATGACGTGTGTGTGAGTGCTGGATGACGTGTGTGTGAGTGCTGGATGATGTGTGTGTGTGTGCGTGTGTGTCTGCTGAATGATGTGTGTGTGAGTGCTGGATGATGTGTGTGTGAGTGCTGGATGATGTGTGTGTGTGTGAGTGCTGGATGATGTGTGTGTGAGTGAGTGCTGGATGATGTGTGTGTGAGTGAGTGATGGATGATGTGTGTTTGAGTGAGTGATGGATGATGGGTGTGTGAGTGCTGGATGATGTGTGTGTGTGCTGGATGATGGGTGTGTGAGTGCTGAATGATGTGTGTGTGAGTGCTGAATGATGTGTGTGCTGGATGATGGGTGTGTGAGTGCTGGATGATGTGTGTGTGTGCTGGATGATGGGTGTGTGAGTGAGTGCTGGATGATGTGTGTGTGAGTGCTGGATGATGGGTGTGTGAGTGCTGGATGATGTGTGTGTGAGTGCTGGATGATGGGTGTGTGTGAGTGCTGGATGATGGGTGTGTGAGTGCTGGATGGTGGGTGTGTGAGTGCTGGATGGTGTGTGTGTGACTGCTGGATGGTGTGTGTGTGAGTGCTGGATGGTGTGTGTGTGTGCTGGATGATGGGTGTGTGAGTGCTGGATGATGGGTGTGTGTGTGTGAGTGCTGGATGATGGGTGTGTGAGTGCTGGATGATGGGTGTGTGGGGTGCTGGATGATGGGTGTGTGAGTGCTGGATGATGGGTGTGTGTGTGTGTGTGTGTGAGTGCTGGATGATGGGTGTGTGAGTGCTGGATGATAGGTGTGTGTGTGTGTGTGTGTGCTGCTGGATGATGGGTGTGTGAGTGCTGGATGATGTGTGTGTGTGTGTGCTGGATGATGGGTGTGTGTGTGTGTGCTGGATGATGGGTGTGTGAGTGCTGGATGTGTGTGTGTGTGTGCTGGATGATGGGTGTGTGAGTGCTGGATGATGGGTGTGTGAGTGCTGGATGATGGGTGTGTGTGGGGGGGTAGCATTTTTTTACTTTATGTATAATTTGTATTTATCCCCCCTCCCTGCTTCTTACCTTGTCAGGGAGGGGGGAGATCGCCTGGTGGTCCGGTGGAGGGAGGGAGCCAGCCGCTGCACAGAGGGGCCATCACACGCAGTGTTCCCTCTCCAGCTCTAACTCTCGCGAGACTCGCCTGTGCGGAGCGTTGCCATGGTAACAGCCGCGGGTCTCGCGAGAGTTATAGCTGGAGAGGGAACACAGCGTGTGCTGGCCCCTCTGTGCAGGTAGCAGGGCCGGTCCTGCAGGATCACTAGCGGGAACGGCGTTCCTGCTTTGGAAAAAGTGCAGGAACACCGTTCCCATGCGTTCCTGCAGGACTCGAGCCCTGGGTTAAAGTTACATTTAAAGAGCAGGACAAAAACCTCTAAAACATGTTAACATCTGATTGAAAATGAAACATTTTTTCCATGCAAGCTCTGTGAGTCTCAGGAAGGGTAGGTGTGGCTAGGGTTGCATAAAGAAAAACAAAAGTGATTTAATTCTTAAATGGCAGAGATTTAAGCAGTGAGACTGCAGGGGCATGACCTACACACCAAATTTGCTTCATTAAGCTAAAGTTGTTCTAGTGGCCATAGTGTCCCTTTAACCCCTTAAGGACCAAACTTCTGGAATGAAAGGGAATCATGACATGTCACACATATCATGTGTCCTTAAGGGGTTAAGTAAACAGCCCTGCCAGTTGTTATTGTTTGGACACACAAAACACTGGTGGGGTTATTCACTAAAACCATAAATTGTCGAGAATTGAAAAGAGAATTGAGAGAATTGAAAAGGGAAGTATATATAGCCAAGATGGGAATTTAGGCGATTTTAAAAAAATTTCGGTTCAGCTACTGTGGGACCAGTTCATTCTCCTCTCCACAATTTCTGATGTAGTAAATAACCATGAAAGCCCTCTCTTGATATTTGTAACTTAGTTCACACCAATATATTCCTTTAGAGGTTAATGTAGAGTCTTTGTGCCAAAACCATACTCATGTTTTCCTGCATAGGAGCCAATGTTTGCCCATCTTTATTCGATGACTCCGGTCCTATACGCAAATAAATAAATAAATAAATAAATAAATAAATCACACCCTGATTTTGTCTCTGGCGTTCATTTTTATTTACTATATTGTTATCATTTTCACTTGCTTTAATGCATTTCAATTGAGAAAGCTTTAGCTATTACCCATCCACTCTCACAGTGAATTACTACATTAGCGGCCCAGGAGTTAATCTCGCTCTGCAGGATTCTCAAAGATTGTTATTGTATGTTGTCACATTCTGTCACCAACTTGAAATGGCATGTTAGGGGCCGATGTGAAAAAGAAGCCCTATTGAAAGATTAAAATCCCCCTATTTTAGACAGTTGACAGGTGCTGGATTTAAAAGGTGATTGGGGGATCCCAAAGATAAAAGCCATCAAACAGCAATTGCCTGGCACTGCTTCATTACCTCCTCAGCAGGTGGTCGGAAACAGCAGTCACCATTTTCTTCCCTCTTCCTCGTTAATAATATTCGAGGGATAATGAGAGAAAGTTGTAGACGATTTCTCCCTCCTAGTGTTTGAACATGTCTGCTTGCTGACAGCGGCACGGGAACCTCTTGATCACACCTGAAGAAAAATGTGTGTTCCCCACAGTATAACAATGTCCTGTCCAACAGACAATGCAAAATTACTGAAACCAACATTAAAACGCAGCAGGTTCATATACTTCCAACGATGCATCTGGGAGGATTACATTTCCAAACAGATCAAAGTAATGTTACTTTTACATACTTTAACCCCACAAGGACCAGAGGTATTGTTAACTAAAGGACCTTGTATTTTTAAACCAATACCCCGTACATTTTTGGCAATTTGTCCAAACATGTTTCTACTTTAGTGCACCTTCGTTCGTGTTTATTTGTTTTAAAACGTATATATGTATACATATTCATTGTACCCCATGATTTGATGGTTATTTTAACAAGAAGATCACATTTTAAGGGTCTGTAATTCCCATGGATAATGGCATATCTATAAATTATGTCCTGTAATTTGGGTTTTTTTAACCACCTCGGCAGGAGTCCTGTGGTCTGTTAACAGGAAGTGGAGATGGGATGTCATTAAGAAAGACCACATATCTGGTTGAAACGTTCCTTTGCCTATGAAGTTATCACAATAGAAGGGTTTTCTATATTAGAGAAGTACCAATCTATTTTTTCCTTTTTTGTGGATACGTCTCAGTTGTGGGCCACATGTTGTAACAACAGATATACATTAAAAAACGCATCCTGATGTCCCTCCAGTATGTTTTCCCAGTCCCAGGTTTAAATATATTCCTCCATAGTCCCCACACCCCACTCACCATCTTATAAGGAAAGCTGCATCAAGATCAATATGTACAAATAAACCTCTGCACAAAAGTGTGCTGTCAATCACAAAGAAGTTATTTTATATAGTCTAAAACTTACACATATTAATACAAAGTGATTATATTACAAAAGAAAAGTGACGAAGGATGAAAGAAACACTAGAATAAAAATTACAAAGAACATAACTTGCACTATATCTTAAATCACACTCCAGCACGTGTGTCTGGTTTTGGTGTAATAGGGAGGGAAATGTTTACTTTACTAAACATTTATTTTACATTATACATTATGTACAGAATGTGAATTCAAAGAGAAGGTAAAATTTAAGGTACTTTGGGATAAAATTTGAAATTCCCTTTTGATTCTCACTTTAGTGAAAAGCGGTGAAGGTGTTTCACTCTCTCCAGCTACATGCTAGGCATGTTTGTAAGGAGAGAGGGAGAGAATCAATGGGCATAGAGAGGCAGAAACTGGGGGTCGAGCCTGAAGGAGAATTTAAACAAATGTGTGTTTGTGTGTATATATTTTTGTGTCTGTATGTATGTGTGTGTGTGTGTCTGTATGTGTGTGTGTTCCATGGAATACACACATCAGCTAGAATAGAAGAGAACGGACAATAACTGCATTCTAGATGATGTGGATATTAAAAAATAATAATCACGTAATATAAAATGTAAATAATGGTGAAATATGGTTATAATAACATAGTCAGCCTTCTGTCATGTGGTTTTTGATGTCTGCAGAACAATTTGATGTTTTTATTTTTCCATTACACCCATTTCACTGTTAGGTATCCTATATAAATACATATACCTCCAGGAATGTTATCAGAAATCTTTGGGCCCCATACTTAAACCCTCAGTGCCCCCCCCTCCACTCCCTACATCAACACATAACCCCTCCACTCAGCCACCACAGAAGCAGCACACTGATTCATTTACAACACCAGATTATCCTATTAACACAGACTTTCTAATCAGTTTTATTGTAGTTTAAACACACATTAATGTGGTTTTATTGCTACACCACAGCAATTTTAAGCTTTTACGAAAGATGGATATGAGCATAGAAAAGATGCTCATAGAGTCAATACCGATAAATATAGTTTTTCACTCATGAGCAGACATAAACATTTTTATATATCTAATAACTTTAAAAAGTGTCAGTACCAGAAATAATGTACAATGTAATAGTGTACAGTTTGGAAAACATCTTTGAGGACGTGTTTTTTGTTTTTATATTTTTTGACTTTTTTTTTTTTGGGAAGCCTGTGAACTAAAGCCAAATTAACAGAAAATACATACAATTTGTCCTTGTGCTTTTTCTTACAAAAAAATGACCTCTCCTATTTCTTCCATTTGTCTAAATCCTTTTATGGATGCTGAACCTTTTATACTTAAAGTGACTTTTGAACATATCACCCCAATTAATGTATCTGAGCAGGATTTATATTCATGTCCATGAATATTAGCTTGTTTGTATAGCCTTGCCAGTGAACCATTTTATTGCTTGAGGAACCAACAATGATTAAAGTCGCACATCAATTAAGCATAATATTACTAAAGTAACAATGAGGAGTTATTTGGCTGAACGACTCCACTGTACTGCAATTTAAATACGAGTTGCCTGGTGGGAACAGAATCAAGTGCGTAACAAGAACTTTGCAGTTGAATGATGAAAGAAAGCTAAACACAACTTTGTACCATCTTGGTCAGTTGTAGGAACTAGTCTCAGGCTCTTTCTAACTAAAACTCGTTAACCTTATGTCACGTATTGGGTGCCTATCACATTGTGTCATCCAAGATATCATTTGATATGTTTATCATTTTTTTTCCAACTGTTGAAGAAGAATTGAGGTAATGAACATACATGCTGTGTATGACAACTTTCTTATTTTCAAAAGTTGATGTAAGATACCATATTTTCAATCCTCCTCCTAGCAAATAACACAGACTTAAGAAGCACATAGCAGAAATGTTGGTTTGGTTGGACCAGCAAGGTGTTGTAATTGCATGTAACAAAAAAAAAAAAAAGAATTTGAAGGTATCTAGATTTGGGATTGGCCATCAAAAGAAATATAGATGTATCAAAATTCCCTATTTTCAAATATTTTAAAATCCATTGGGTGCATACCTAGAGA